ACTGTGGTTGACGGTGGCAGCAGTCACACTATGAGAATTTGTCCCAAAATTTCTGACCTGACCTTGTGTGTCTCAGTGAAATCTAGACCATAGTTTGGATTGACAACCACAGATTTCACCACATTTCCATCATCATTGACTAACTTCCATCTGGGATGGTTCCAACCAAACTGTGTAAAGACCTTTAGGATCTACCCTAAACATGTCTGTGGTATTGTCCCAGTGTGGGACACTGTTTGAACTTTGTGACCTTCTATCCCCAGAAATCCTTTAAAGGTTATATATATATATATATGAGAGTTAGAACATTAATATAGCAGCAAACAACTATTTGCTATTTAAAGATATAGTGGAGTAATTGCGTTAATACAGCAGGTCCTGGAACTGCACGTGTGTCCCTCCATGTGAACCTGCTGGCTTTTAGGAGAGTTGATAAATTAAGGATTTATTTCAACAAAACCAGAATTGGTGATTGTTGGAACAGTGGAAAGACTAACAAAAGACAGTTTTGGTGAGTTTTACTTTGTTTCTGTCCAGTTTGAAGTGTTTTATGATTATCTGCTAGGTAGAATGACTGCTTTTGTCAATGGAGTCTGGTCAGCCATAGTGCTGTTTTTGCTTTGGTCACAGATGCTGATGCTCTAGAGTGACATCTAGTGGCAAGTGAATTTCATATATATAACCTTTAAAGAAAAGTTAATAAACACATCAAAACAATCCTTAGCTTGTGCTATTGCTGATTATTTATAGCAAAATACATCAATGGGATAAGGACAAGTGTTGGGTTGAATTTCCAAGCCTGGCAGAATCAACTCAGAACAAACAAATAAAATGACAAATAAGCAAACAGACAAACACAAACATCTATTTGGCCTTGTAATATGGCACTAGGATAAGGGTAACCAGGACAGGAAGTACTTTGAATCCAGGTCTGGCAGGATGTTTTTTTCAAAGAAAGGAAATATTCCTCATACATCCTCTGTGACAGAAGGCCACGTTTTGCTCAGCTTGCATTGCTGACAAAAATAAAAATAAATTCATATAGAAATTCAAAACTCTGGCCCCCACTGCGTGTGCAATCATAAAGTAAATTTGAGTTAGAGTCACAAAGCTGTGGCTGGAGTTTATTTTATACAATGGAGTATTAGGGCAACTGGTTTGAAATAACTTCTGACATTTGAGAATAAAGCCATAATATTTGGAAAAATAAAAGTCACAACATAAAGTCAGAATTTGTACGAGAAAGGTCAAGTTGTAATCTTACAAGAAAAAGTTGAATTTGTAATGTGAGATAATATCATGACTTGTTCTTGTAACAGTACCTCTTTATCTTGTTATTTTTCTTGTAACATAACTTGTCTTGTTAAATTCCAACTTTATCTTTATTCTTATAGTCACTTGCTTTTGTACAGTTAAAGTTTTATCTTGTAATAGTGTGATTTTTCTTCATGACTAGAATTCCAACTTTATCTCAAATAATTATTAACTTCTTCATGTAAAATTATGCCTTCATTTTTGTAATAACAACCGCTTTACTCTTGTAATATTGTGACTTTTTACTCATGAAATTACAACAACCCAAAATCTTTCAGATGTCCTGATGTATTTTCCCCCCAGCAGTGATTGTGGGGCAGTGCACATTAATTAAGGGAGTATGTTCAGTAGGCATTTTTTTCATTAAATAGATTATGGTACTCTACTTCTTCTATACAGATTTATTTCATTATAAATAATTCTAGTTAGTAATTGGGTGGGTTAGATATATATCATCTGTGTAGACTATTTACAGTGAGGAATCTAAACCTTTTAACTGCAGTTAATAGTGAGCTGCTTTATTTGAAGTGAATTGAGACTCTGCTCCTGAACCAATCATAAATGTATTTCTCTTTGAAGCTAGGAAGGAATTCTGTGTGCAATATGGCTACTTCTCTGCTCTCTAATCCAACAGGACACCCCAAAGTCATCTAGTGACAGACTTTAGTGTAAAAAGGCTGGATGTCAACTCTATTCCATCCAACCTTCAGAGGAAAAATCCACCCTAAAACACCTCTTCTGCTGTTTAGTGTATTCTTGTTATGTCCTGTGTGAAAGCACAGCCAATCAGCAATGACACAAGAGATTTCGAGTGCAGCTATGAAGCAGTCTGACAGCAGAACAGTGTTCATACAGGGGGACATTCAGGGCAAAAGAGGCAGAAACTGTATATCCAGTTCCCTGTCTTTTTTAAGTGGTTAAAAGGCATTCTCAACATTGCAGGAAAACACATTTCTCACAACACATTTAAGCCTGCTATTAAAATGCCAATCTTTCCTTGGTGCCTCACACCTGCTGTTTTTAAAGCATTATCCTCACTGAGATCAGATCTCTGCCCCAGACGCCCTTCATTTTTTTTGTGAGTTGTTGAGTTCCGAGAAACTTTGTCCAACTGACTACATTAAATTCCCATATTTCACCCCCCTTGTTGCTCTGTGCTCCAGTAACAGTTGAGCAAACCTCTGTCAATCATTATTTTATTATCATTACGTTAGCTGTATGTTATCAAATAAATAACAATAAATTTGCTTTATGCTGACTAATATCTATATGAGTTACATTGTGGAAGGGAACCAGCACGTTGTATTAGATTGCATTAATTCAAGATCAGCCCACAATGTGAGCCAGACTACCTCCAGATGTGGTCAGGTAGATCTGATCACGACACAGTTACACCTTGCAGTAACATGTGTTTTTCCTTATTTGGATAACTTGTCTGGATGCAGATTGCATTTTAATAACAGGCATAAATGATTTCTCAGAATGCTGCATCAACATTTAAAGAAATATAATATTAGAACACTTAAAGCTGCAGTAGGTAACTAAGTAGGTAAAAAAATATTTTTTGGCATATGTGCTGAATCTTTCACTATATCCTGACAGTAGAACATGAGACAGATAATCTGTAAAGAAATCAGGTTACTCTCGCTCCTCCTAGTGCTCCTAATAGTATTTGCAAGAATCCACTGGGCCTGAACAAAAACAACAAATCAGAGCGGAGAAAGATATAAAGACTGTTTGGGTTAGAGGCTTGAAGATAGTTGATTGTTGAGTCTCATTCCCAGAGTCCAAAATAGTGCATTTGATGCCCTCATTGTTGATGACTCAATAATCAACTATCTTTCTATCGGCTACATATATTAACAAAAATATCTTGCATGTGACATTTTATCCAAAACAGTCTTTAGTATCATTTTTGCATTGCATTTTGTGTTGCATAAAGTTCAGCATTACTGAGAAATACCTAGGGGGAGCTGTTGAGTTCATCCAGCTGAGTTCCACCATCTTTTTCCTCTTTCTTGTTTCCTGCCCTTCTGTTCCACTCTGGCCTTTCCTCCCCTCAGCTGACCTTCCCACTCCTCCAGCCCTTTATCCTGCAGATGTTGGCTTGACTTTGTGGTTTGTCATCTTAGCACAAAGGCCACTCTGTTGACGAGGGCCTGGCATCAGCCTGGGCGCCTGCCAGCGTAATCTGTCCTAGACAGCCGCTCACAGAGCCAAGGGAAGGGTGGGCATGAGCTGGGCATGGAGCATGGAGAGGGGGAGCTAGGGGCAGGGGCTACAAGGCAGGAATGGAGTCACAGCTGTGAGGGGAGGGTCAACTACCCCCCTCCACATCCTCTTCTCTTTATTTTCAAAGCCTGGATACGCAGTCAGTCAACAGACCAGATCTCGTTCTACAAGGAGACTGAGTCAGTGCTCCAGTTTGGAATGTAGTTTCAGGACCTTCCTTACTCTGGCCTCTCCTTGCAACGTACAAGTCTTTCCCTTCTTTCCAAAGACTTAAGCTGAGAGGAACAACTTTAAACTATGTTTAAAGTAGAAGGCTTTGCCCCAGTTTCTCTGCATGGGAGCATTAAAGTATACCTTGTATTTATATTTGGTGTCCTTCGAAGAATACACATCATCAGCATCAGCAAATGCACCAATAAGGCCTGGGTTATCAGAATCAGAATCACTTTTATTGGCCAGGTATGTGTGCACATACAAGGAATTTGACTCTGTTTTTTATGCTAGAAAAGAACTAGTTTGTATGATGTGTTGTCTGACTATGATAGATAGCAAATGCCTTGTTAAACCGACACGTTTCTACATTAGCCCAGAACAGACAAATAAAACACTGGCTCTAGATAGGGCCTTATGAGTTTTTCATGCCACCGTAGTTTCTACTACATGCTCAGGAGGCTGAGCACTATTCAAACAGTTGTAATCTGCAACTTAACCGCTAGATGCTACATAATTCTACACACTGGTCTTTTAATACAACTTCGGTGTTACTTCCATAATATTGGTCAGTAGTCTTTTGGTAGTAATAAGATTTTTCTAACCAAATTTACTTCTGAGATAAAACACAACTATATAGCTAAAATAAGTCTGATGGGCTAAAAACAAAACAAAAAAATCAGTCAAACAATCAGACAGGACAACATGACTGATGCCTCTTCAGGATCTGTTTCAGTTTGACTTTAAAATGATTCCACTCAGGATCCAGGTTGAGTTCTTTAGGTATTCCATATTTTGCTCCCCTGAGTAGAAAACGTTGTTTGTCCAAATGAGTATTTATGTAAGGTCACCTTAAAATTGCTGCTGGATGCTCCATGTGTTATTGAGCCTGAAGTTGAAGTGGAACCACAAGGTCACTGAGCACCTGGCGAACATGGTTACTGTAGATGCTGTTTGTGACCAAGAGGTTACACAATAACTTAAATGTGAAAAGATCATGGACTGCATGAAGCTATTAGCATCATGAAATGGTAGGCAGTCTCTAATAAATCTGAAAGTTTGTTAAACAAAAAATATTGTCTTACATTAAAAATAAAAACAATATATATACATATATATAT